TGTTTGAGCGGGCTTTTAAAAAATTTTCAAAAAAAATTACTTAGTTTAGTAATTCTAAAATGTTTAGGCGGGAAAATAGTTACTTTTTTAGGTAAATGTCAAACCTTTTTATATTTATATAGATGTTCTTGAGATTTGGAGTTTTAGGGTGATATTGATAGGCATCGGAGGCCCAACGCCGGGACCTTTTCCGGCGTTTGGTTCTTGCAGGTATGGAAGTCGTTCGGTTGAAGGAGCTCGGGTGAAATCCATTTTCACCAACAATATTTATGTCTATATAATATTTAAAATTATAAGTTAGATGAATAACATCACATTTATAAATTATATCATTAGTAAAAATAAACAAGATTTTTAAACTATTTAACTTATATATAAATCACTATATCGATTGCAACAATGTAATTTTTATAATTTTGGTTGATTATGACAAAGTAATTATGTGAAAAATATTGAAATTATTATCATAGCAATTATGCATAGATTTTTAAGAAGTTAGATTGTGCCGCAAAGAATAACTAATTGATCTTATCTAAAAAATCTTAATGAGCAGAAAAAGATAATGGCCTTGTTTGGCAATTAGCTGTTAGCGGTTAGCTGTTAGCTGATTATATCAGTTGTTTTGACCAGCGGATTGTATTGACTGTTTTGACTGGCGGATTACATTAGCGGATTGTGCTGAAGTGTTTGGTAAAATTAGCTGATTGATGTTATTAAGTAAAATAAAATAACTAATGTAAGTAAATGTATAATTACTCAAATAATAAAAATAATAAGAATAATATATTTATATATAAAGAATTAAATGTATTTTAAAATAATGACATACATAACTTATTTTGTTATATTGAAAAATAAGAAATTTCACATACGAAAAAGAATTTCAAAAATAATTATTCCATCATTACATATTAAAGGAAACTAATTCTTAAATAAATTAATAAAATGAAATAAAAAAAAAAAAAGTAATTGCATTGTGGACTGTGTCACTGATAATCATAATTGCAGTATACATAATGCCCCCAAAATGTCCACTTTTCACATAATTAAATAAAAAACTTGAAACTAACGATCAAAAAAAAAAAAAAAAAAAAAAAAAAAAAATTGAAACTGCTAAGCTTAAACGTTGCTCCAAGCAGCGTTTCCAATATCAGCTTTTGAGCCCAAACCGCTGTTGTCATCCGCTATTTTACCAAACAATAATTTTGAGGTGATAGCGAACACTCTCGTGATGGTCTACGACTTGCTGATAGCGAACACTCTCTTTAGCAAGCAGGATGCGAAAGACACTTGGTGGTGGAATGACGAGGTGCAAAGGGCTATTCAAGTGAAGAAAAAGTGTTTCAAGCTTCACCACCTCGACAAGAGTGCAACCAACGTTGAGAGCTGTAAAATAGCGAGGAGGGCTGCAAAGCGTGCCGTGAGTGTAGCGAAGGGTCAGGCCTATGATGACCTTTATCAACGCCTAGGCACGAAGGAGGAGGAGAAGGACATTTATATGATATCTAGGATTCGGGAGAGGAAGACAAGGGACATCAACCAAATCAAATGCATCAAGGATGGGTCGGATTAGCCACTAGTGAAGGATGGGGAGGTCAAGGACAGATGGCGAGAGTACTTCGACAAATTTTTTAATGGAGAGAGTGAGGTCCTACCCTGGAGTTGGTTGACTCATTTGGGATACCAATAGATGCTTGGTGAGGAGAATCCGAGAGACAGAGATCGGAGAGGCTATGAAGAGGATGAAGGGAGGTAAAACAATGGGCCCTGATGGTATCCCTATTGAGGTGTGGTGATGTTTGGGCGCCAGAACGTTAGTATAGTTAACTAAGCTTTTTAACCTCATCTTCCGGTCAAACAAGATGCCTGATGAATGGAGGAGAAGTACTTTAGTACCGATCTTCAAGAACAAGGGTGATGTTCAAAGTTGTGGTAACTATCGTGGGATTAAGTTGATGAGCCATACGATGAAGCTCTGGGAGAGGGTTATCGAGCATCGCCTACGACGAGTGACGAGTGTGACCCAAAACTAAATTGGGTTTATGCCTGGAAGGTCGACCATGGAGGCGATTTTCCTAATACGACAGTTGATGGAGGGATATTGGGACCAAAAGAAGGACTTGTACATGGTCTTTATCGACCTTGAGAAGGCTTATGACAGAGTACCGAGGAATGTCATGTGGTGGGCCTTAGAAAAGCACAAAGTCCCATCTAAGTACATTACCCTCATCAAGGATATATACAAGGATGCGATGACGTGTGTCCGAACATGTGGGGGCGATACCAGCGACTTTCCAATTAAAATAGGACTACACCAGGTGTCAGCATTGAGCCCTTATTTATTTGCCTTGGTGATGGATGAGGCCACAAGGGACATACAAGGTGATATCCCTTGGTGTATGCTCTTTGCTGATGATGGGCAGGGGTAAATAGGAAGTTAGAGCTGTGGAAGGACACGTTAGAGTCGAAAGGCTTGAGACTTAGTAGAACGAAGACCGAGTACATGACGTGCGCTTTCAGCATGGCTACTCATGATGATGGTGACGTTAGCCTTGACGGGCAAGTGGTGGCCAAGAATGAGACTTTCTGGTATTTAGGATCGATGCTACAAAAGGATGGCGACATTGATGAAGATGTTAGGCATAGAATTGCAGCCGGTTGGTTGAAATTACATCAAGCTTCGGGCGTTCTTTGTGATAAGAGGGTGCCACAAAGGTTAAAAGGTAAGTTCTATAGGACGGCGATTCGCCCGGCGATGCTATACGGTGCTAAATGTTGGCCTACAAAAAGGCAACACGTCCAACAACTAAGTGTAGCAGAGATGCGGATGTTGCGTTGGTTTTGCGGGCACTCAAGGAGAGATAGAATCCGAAATGAGGATATTCGAGATAGGGTCGGGGTGACTCCAATTGAGGAGAAATTGGTTCAACATCGGCTGAGGTGGTTCGGACATGTCCAACAAAGGCCTCCTGATGCACCGGTGCATAGAGGAGTTCTACAGCGGGTCGATGTTGTTAAGAGAGGTAGAGGTCAGCCTAAACTCACTTGGGAAGAGTCGGTTCAGAGAGACCTTAAAAATTGGAATATCTCCAATGATTTAGCGGTGGATAGGAGTGCTTGGAGGCTAGCGATCAACGTGCCGGAACCGTGACTTTTGCTCCTTTCTCGTTTGCTCCAGTCTTTTTTTTTTACCACTGTTTCTATTGGGTTTCATCTATAGCTTACCCCAACTCATTTGTAACTAAAAGTTTTTATTATTGTTGTTGTTGTTGATAAAACCAAAACGACATTTAAAAAAAAAAAAAAAAAGAGGTAGTAGTTCTTATTGCATTTAATTCAAAAATTTCTCAAAACAACATGCAATTCATTTTCACATAATTTTTTATTTATTATTTATAGTATTATCACTAGTGGCAAACACCCCAGTAGGCTACTACAAATGTACGGTTGACTATAAATTTTCCAAGTCAACCGTTCTAGAATATAATAAATTTTATATTGATTTATTTTCAAAGCTGCTTACACAATATAATCTCCCATTATTCAACTTTAATTGGCATGAACAAACCGGTACACTATTCATTAATTTATTTTAGGAAAACCAGTTTTCCACAATTTCCCACCCACCCATGACCCAACATCTTATTCAAAGCCTCACGCCAACAAAATCCCAAAATAATATCTTTTTTTTTTTTTTTTTTTTATATAGGCATCTTTCGATTTCTGGATCTACAGGAGAACCGACTAATTTAGAATCGAGCCGGATAGGACCACAAGGACGGTAAAACTCTCTTTCATAAGTTTTAGCACTGCTGCATTCCAAAAATAACCTTTGACCATTAGTGAGTAGTGCAATTAGCACCATCATTAAGAAACAAGATACCAGTAATCAAAACCATAAACGGAGGATTAGAAATCAATACTAATAATAACAAAAAATACCCGCAAAGAATCCCTTTATTTAAATCCAACCCCTCTTTCCAATTCCCAAATCCCACACACACTCTGCCACAGCCATGGCCCGACCATCACCGCTCTCCCTCCTCCTCCGCGCGACGGCGGCGCTCCTCCTCCTGCTAACGTGCGCTCCGCCGGCCGTCTCTCTGCCCCCCTGCCCCCCCTGTGGCTCCGCCCTCGTCCCCTACCCCCTCAGCACCGGCCCCACCTGCGGCGATCCCGCCTACCGGATCCGCTGCTCCGCCGCCGCCCTCCTCTTCGACTCCTCCAACAACACCTACCCGATCACCTCCATCTCCGCCGCCGATCAGCGCCTCACGGTGGCGCCGGCGCCGTTCCTCCCGGACGCCTGCGTCGCCGCCGACCTCCCGACGAACGGGCTCCAGCTGGATCCCGCCGCCCCCTTCAACATCACCGGGGCTAACACCATCCTCTACCTCAACTGCACCGACGCCATCCTCAACTCCCCACTCAACTGTACCGCCACCAGCCTCTGCCACGCCTACGCCAACGCCACCGCCGGCGCGTGCCGATCCACGCCGTGCTGCGCGTTCAGGGCTGGCGGGTCGACGACGGCGTACAGGATACGTGTCAGGCAGGCCGGGTGCCGGGCCTACCGCAGCTTCGTGGGCCTGGACCCCGGGCTGCCCGTGGACCGGTGGCCGCGGCCCGGCGTGGAGCTACAGTGGGCCCTGCCGGCTGAGCCCACCTGCGGGGGTCAGGGAGACTGCGGGCCGGATTCAACCTGTCGACCCGACCCGAACTCGAACCGTGGGGTTAGGAGGTGCTTTTGCCACTCGGGCTTGAGGTGGGACCCTGTTGCCGGAGTCTGCGCTACAGGTCAATTTTTCTTTTTTGTAGTATTTTTTTTCCCTTCCAACTGCAAGATTTATGATAATAATTAGATTAAAATCTTTTAATTTTTGTACCAAAAAAAAAAAAAAAAATCTTTTAATTTACATTTTCTTTTTTACTAATGACAAAAAAAAAAAAATTCATCTATATTCAGCATACAATAACATTTATTTATTAGCAAACTTTATGTAAAAAAAATCAATTATTTTATGTTTACTTAATAGTACTAATATTCATTAATTTATAATTAGTTGATGCTGATGACATGGATACTTGAATACTGCAGAATGCCAAAATCGAAATGGGTGTGACAATGACCGAACTGCACTTATTGCAGGTAATACTTTTTCTACTTAATATTACTAATATTCATTAATTTAATTTGTCGCGCTTCTGAATTATTGTGACAACATTAGTTTTGATAATATTTGTGTAGTAGTCAAAAAACACTTCAGAGCTTACGTTTGCTGGCTGATTATTTAATTTTAAAAGAGATATACTAATAGATTCACATAATAATTTTATACGTGTGCCTACAATTGGCGAGACCATTTAAGGGAGAACTTTTGTGTTCTTGTAGTCCTACCCGACTCGATTTCGGATTAGTGGGTCCCATGAAAATCCGAAAATTGGAAGATTTCTGTACCCAAAAAAAAATATATAAAGGAAAATATATATATCCTCTCAGCCCAAAGGCATCCTTATCTTTTTGTCCCGTTAGACATTCATTTTTCAATGTCTCTATTTAAATGTTAATGGCTGACTAAATGAGACATAATTTTCACATATTGATTCACCGTGCCCAACACTCGATCATATGTCCTTTTGAGTTTTCATTCCACGTTTCATTTTATTTCGTATTTCATTCTTCTGTTGGATGAACGAACGAGTGACACATTAAAGTTTTTTTTTTTCTTGAAAAATCTTAATTTATAGGTCTGACCTCCGGCCTCGGCGTGACACTCGTAGCATCCCTCATCGCATTCTTCGCCTACAAACGCCACCGACGCATACGCGACGAGAAGGACCGCATCACCCGCGATCGCCAGCTCATCCTCAACTCCGGCGGCGCCACTGCCAAACTCTTCACCGGAAAACAAATCAAACGTGCCACCAACAACTTCTCTCGGGACCGCCTCCTCGGCTCCGGAGGCTATGGCGAGGTCTACCGTGGCATCCTCGACGACCACAACACCACCACAGTAGCCGTGAAGTGCGCCAAGCTCGGCAACCCTAAGGGCACCGACCAACTCCTGAACGAGGTCCGCATACTTTGTCAGGTCAACCACCGCAGCCTCGTCCGCCTCCTTGGCTGCTGCGTGGAGCTCGACCAGCCCGTCCTCGTCTACGAGTACATCCCCAACGGGGCCCTCTCGGAGCATCTACAGGACACGACCCGCCGGGGGCTCTTGTCCTGGAGCCGCCGATTAAGCATCGCGCGAGACACGGCCGAGGGACTTGCGTACCTCCACTCGTCGGCGGTTCCCCCGATCTACCACAGGGACGTGAAGTCGAGCAACATCCTCCTTGACGAGAAGCTCAATGGGAAGGTCTCGGATTTCGGGTTGTCCCGGCTGGCGCAGGCAGACGTGAGCCACATCTCCACGTGCGCGCAGGGGACGCTCGGGTACCTCGACCCGGAATACTACCGCAACTACCAGCTCACGGATAAGAGTGATGTGTACAGCTTCGGGGTGGTTTTGTTGGAGCTCTTGACGTCCCAGCGGGCGATAGATTTCTGCCGGGAAACGGACGATGTGAACTTGGCGGTGTACGTGAGGAGGCTAGTGGACGAGGAGAGGGTCTTGGAGGCAATCGACCCGGGGCTGAGGGAGGGGGCGGGGGAGCTCCAGGTGGAGACGATGAAGGCGTTGGCATTCCTGGCGGTGGGGTGCGTGGAGGAGAAGCGGCAGAACCGACCGTCTATGAAGGAGGTGGCGGAGGAAATCGACTACATTATAAGCGTCGCCAATTCGAATAATTGACCACCGAGTAGGTTTGGTCTTTGTTGTATGTGTGTGTGTATGTGTATTTTGTTCATTTTTCCATGTGTTTTCTCGTGTTTAGCTAGGGGTACTCGGTTAGTCGGTTTCGCATTGGTTACATAATGTTTTCTTCGTGTTTGGGCTTGTTAATAAAAATGCCAAAAATTAACACGTTTTTTTTTTTAAACGAACAATAGATATTATTACTCAGAAAAATGTACAACTCGGAGGTTAAGAGCATGATTGGATACAAAAATTTCTCAAAAAAATCCAAACATTTTTAACTCAACCACTTTTTTAACTCAACTTTAACTCAACCCACTATCATCAATATTTCAATATAATTAAATAATATCAATCAATCATTCTTACACACAACATCAACCTTAATTCATTATTCATCTACTCACATAAATTTAACTACTATCACATCACATTTTCTCTCTCTTACTTTTACATCAATTTAATTTTAATTATTTTATTTTAAATATTATTTTATTATATCCACTAACAACTAACCATACCTACTTTTTCAAATTTAACCAACCCAAATCAAAACAAAAACAAATTTATATCCAAGCATGCTCTTAAGAAACTCCATGCCTCCAAAACAAAGGGTAATGAGAGGCACTAACAATAGTGCTCTAGACAAAAGAACCTAGTGGGATTGAACATCTAGCAGAGACTAAGCAATTGAGATCGGTGCTTGGTGATTAATCCTTAATACAAAAGGGTTATTGAACCTAGTGGGATTGAACATCTAGCAGAGACTAAACAATTGAGATCGTGCTTGGTGATTAATCCTTAATACAAAAGGGTTAGTGATGGGTTCGGTCGAAGCTCAACGTTCAAAGTAAGATGGACTTGTTGAAAATAAATGTGGGACCGATCATAAGGGAAATGGCTAGTAATGAAGGAAGCCTTGAGTGTTTTATTGTTGAATTACAAGAGAAGACGTAAGGAACACCAATTGAAGGCAAATTGATGAATATTCTCCAAGTTGATGAGCCAGATTGTTCGCATAAAAATTGATCCATCAATTGAACACTTAATTTCATTCATGTCATGAAGCCCAATTGAAGTGTATTATTTTGTCCATTTTCAGCATTTGTGAGACCAAAATGTCTCTTAAGTTATCTTAAAAGTCAAAGGGTCATTCAAACTTCATGTGACCTTATTTATGTGGTCAAAGGTGTGTCTTTAGTGCATCACGAGTCCCAAAAAGGGATTAACTCATCATCACATATTGTAGCCTTTAAAAAGGCCATTTTGTGTTTTAATGAAATATATGAATATTGCTGAGATAAAAATCACTTTTGTGAGTTTGAATTCTCTTTTGTAGAGTTTCAATTGTTTTAAGAACTTATCAAGATACTTGAGCAAGATCTTGTGGCATTCACCATACCGAAGTTCTTAGCTGATTATATAGCTAACGGGTCAAGGTTTTCAAGCCCTAGGTACGATCAAATTAGATCTTCGATTTGGGATTCCGCTGCCTATTTATACGTTTGGTTCTTGGATCAATATATCCAACGGGTCTCATGTGCTATTCGTATCAGTTATGACCACTGATAAGAGATCCTAGCCAAAACCAATGGCATCTACAAGCTAAACAATCCAAAAAACAAGACTGGAAAAGAGTACAACAACAAGAAAAGCAAAACAACAACACTACAACTTATAAAAGAAACAAAAGCCAAGAAGGAAAAGAAGAAGAATACTCCATCCATTCTCTACAAGTAGCAACCACCACAGATTTTGGAAATAGATTTGGTTTCTGGACTTCCATATTCCCAACAAGAGGCAAGCTGTTAGATGTTATATGCCATTAGAGGTATGACATGTTTTGATGGAGCAGAGCTTTGTCCACCAATCCTTATTGTTCTGAAAAGATGACAATATGGCATGCGAATTAAAAACGAAAAAGTAAACAACACATGATTTACGTGTGTTATCGTAAATATGGTATAGATTAGATTGTATCAATTAGGTGATATGGTGAATCCCTTAGATTAGGTGTTTTGATTTCTTTCCTTTCTTACATCTCCTTTGGCTTGTATATATATGTTGTAATCCTCATTGAGTAATATATCAATTCAAGCTTAATAGCATTACATGGCATCAGAGCCAAAATAAAAGTTAGGGTTTTTCTTTTTTTAATTTTCGTGTCAAAATTCTTTGGGGTTCAGAGTAGGCACACTTTAGGTGAGTTTCGGGTCTCACCTCCTGTAACGTTGGACTCGCCATCACCGGAACGACCATCCGGTGAAGTATCGCCGGCAGATTCCGCGCGTGTGAGGTACACGCGCCATCGCTCTCTCCTGTCGTCTGTCTCACGCGCCGGCGCGTAAGGGCGCGTGTCTGGCCGGAAAATTTTCCGGCGAACGTCCGTCTGCTCGGAATTTCTCAGGGTTTCAGGTTTCGGTGCCTCCTTGCTGTTCAGGTTGAATTTTTTTAATTTCAGCCCTTTATTATCGATTCATTTGCTCGGCACAACCTTGTTCTTATGGCTGCGAATAAAATTGTGTCTGAAATCATCCCTATTATGAACAAAATCACCGATGTTAAATTAAATGGTTCTAATTTTCTTGGTTGGAGTAAAACTATTATCGTCCACCTCCGTAGTATAGACAAGGACGATCACTTGGATTCGGGTCCTCCCACTGATGATGTCAAAGATGATACTCGTCGGGCGTGGTTACGTGATGATGCAAAATTGCTTGTTCAAATTCGAAACTCCATCGAGCCCGATATACTCTCTTTGGTCAATCATTGTGAATTTGTCAAAGAATTGATTGATTATCTAACCTTCTTATACTCTGAACATACCAATATCTCTCGTATTTATTCAGTTTGCAAGTCATTTCATAGAGGTGAGCAACATGACAAAAATGCTACGGCATATGTCATGGAGTTTAACAAGGTTTATGAGGAACTAAACTCTCTCCTTCCATTAAGCGGCGATATCAAAGCAATGCAGAAGCAACGGGAACAAATTGCTGTTATGAGCTTCTTGACTGGGTTACGTCCAGAATTTGATGCCTTCAAGAATCAACTTCTCTCCGAATAAGCCATTCCTTCTCTCTAAGAGACATTTTCCCGATTTCTTCGTACCGAGGAAATGCAATCTCCCGCTTTCGGCACTCACGTCTCTCAACATAGTGCTATGGTCAGTCGTGGAGGCTCCCAAGGTAGTTTTCGTGGCGGATCTCGACGAGGCTCTCGAGGGGGCTCTCGGGGTGGTACTCGAGGAGGTCCGACAAATCGTGGATCTCGTAATCCCGAATCTGACGACGTGGAGTGTTATTATTGTCATGAATTTGGGCACACTAAGTATTCATGTCCACAGTTAGAGAAGAAGAATCAGAAGGGCCCCTCTGCTCATGTTGCATCATCTCTGACATGGTCACTATTTCTGCTGAGGAGTATTCTCGACTTACTGCAACAGAGAAACCTTCTTCATCTGCTGTTGTCTTTGCTGACACAGGTAATTCTGGTACATGCCTCATATCTAAAGGCACAAGATGGGTCATTGATTCAGGTGCATCAGATCATATGACAGGTAACCCAAACCTTTTTTCCACCCTTGACCCCCATACACCTTCTTCTCATGTCACTATTAATTGCTGACGGGTCTACTACTCGTGTCCTTGGTTCTGGTTCAGTTAATCTCACTCCTTCTATCTCGTTACACTCTGTACTAAGCTTGCCAAACTTTGCTTTTAACCTACTTTCTGTTAGCAAACTTACAAAATCATTGAATTGTAGCGTCTCATTCTTTCCAAACTATTTTATTGTGCAGGATCTTTCAACGAAGCAGATCCTTGGTAAAGGACGTGAATCTGTTCGGCAATGTGCCTACATCCACGACGGCGGAGCGATATCCTTTTTATTATGAATATCTTAATACATCAATACATGATGTATTTATATTATAATCCTACAAGGTATAAATTTACTTAAATACCTCGTACCGTACCGCGGGGGCTCCACCCCGCACTCCTAGCCCAACTAAGTCTGTCTCCTTCCTTTGTCAATATATGGACCATACCAACACTTATAAGTCTGGCTTATAGTTGCAGCTGTCAAGTTCAGGACCATCCCACGATAGGGAAGACAACTTCCATATAAGTCTAGCTCTTAGACAGTGGAAGAAAACATGTTCTTGAGTTTCCACGTCTTCTCCACAAATTTTGCAAATAGGATCAACAACCATGATTTTGAAGAGAACTTTTCAGTGGGAAAGTGTAATGTACAAGCATAGTGTGACAGATTTTGTTTTTTTTAGATGATAGATATTATTACCCTAAAAGAGATACAAAACAAAAATCGATAACTAAATAGCCAGACAATACTATGATATAGACATGTTATTTATTTATTTTAATTAATTATTACATGAGCCACGAACAAAATATTTACCAACTACCAAAATGTGTCATAACAATTTGGGCATTTTCACCATACTGCGTACATAAACACAATCAGATAAATTAACATATTAAAAATTAAACATATATATTATTTAACTTCATATATGTTTACATATTTTTTATTAAATTGGATTAATAACACAAATATATTCATATATATTATATTGAATGTTTCTCCTTATACCTTATATAGCAAAAGTAATTCTGGTTATATTTTTTAAGTTACCACAAGATTCAGTAAAATAAAATAAATAGTTGTTCATTATGAACACAAATAAGTTAAAAAAAAAAAATCTCTAATAAATAAATAATGTTATACAAATTTACTACATTGTTTTTCTCTAATTTAAGATCCCTAATGTTGGTATGGCTCATATATTGACAAAAGTAGAGGGCAGGCTGATGTCTACGAGCGTAACGGAGTGAACGTAGCGAGAGAAGCGGAGCGACCGAGCGAATAAATACATGGTGTATTGATGTATTTGATACGATTGAGAATAATAAAGATCCCTCAGCCGCCGTGGACGTAGGCACATTGCCGAACCACGTAAATCTTGTGTTGTTTACTTTTCTCGTTTTTTTTTTTTAATTCGTGTGCCATATTGTCATATTCTCTCAACACCTAATTTAAACAAAACGTATAAAACATCATAAAGAGTGATGTGAGGCCCTAAATAAACAGTCCCAGCCTTGCTAGCTATAGTGAAGGAACCATTAGGCAATTGAACAGGACGGGCGGGAATATCCCGAACATCAGAAATAAACTCCAGGAACCCCGTCATATGATGAGTTGCACCACTGTCGTACATCCAATCAAAGAAACCATGTGTACCAGACAAGGGAATATTTTGTTTAGTAGAATTAACCAAAGACACAAAGTAAGACCATTGTTCATTGGTAAACCACCAAGTGCAAGAAGATCAGAATCACTCAAACGGCACTAGCAGTAGAAGAACCAACATACCCGACAACAAAAGAATCACCAATACCACTAGAGAACGCCGCATTCGCACGAGCACCTCTCTTGCCGCGAGCTCCACCACGGCGGCTACCACCAGAATGATAATCGTGGCCACCACTGGAAAGATGGCCCATTCGACCACAATGAGAACACTTGGAACTACCAACACGGTGCACAGCAAGTTCGATGCTACCTCTGGTCGCGTCTAACGCGATTGACAGGGGCGGATCTATTCATAGGCGAGCCTGGGCAGTTGCCCAGGCTGAGATTTTAATGATAAAGATAGGTTATGGTATATTTTATTTGAATTTTTATGGTGGTAGAGGGCAAAAGAGAGTCTATTCGGGTGGCGCAAGGAAGAAGATGACTGGTAAGGCAATTTTTTATTTTTTTTTTAAATCAACCTTGGGATAAAAGACGACATCGTTTCTTAAAAGGCCCAAAAAAAAAAAAAAAAAAAATTAATTGCCAAGCTTGACACACGCACGCAACCCATAACACACGCACGCAGGCATAGAGAAAAACACATAAAGGTCTTGTGAAGATCTAAGATCCCCAATTTTCTTTAGCGAAAAAAAGTTGTTAATTCGAAAATTGGTCGCCGAACACCCAACTCTCTTCCTGTTATTCCTGCCGACATACATATAATCCAAAATAAAATTTCTTCTCAAGGCGGCAGGAGTGACGAAAATGGGAGTGCAGATTTCTTGAGTAATTTGATCGAAATTTCTATGCTTTTATTCTAAGGTAAGTGTTTTATATGTTTCTTATGTTTAAGTTCAATTATCCATACCGATTTTTTTTAAACCCATATTGTGTTTGTATTATATTCTGTTTGTTTTTCCCTTATAATACAATTTCGTCTTGAGCGGACTGCGGATCTCTCGGTAATTTGCTATGCGTACAGTTTGTGCAAGAAAGAACTTAATTGAATTTATTTGTTTTGGTGGGCTCATGGTTGGTTTAGATTGTAACTTGTACAGAAACAAAATTATTAGTTAAAAAATCACACATATTAGAGTTTGTTGAGTTTGTTGAATGATTGACTGTTGATGTTTGAATTTGGAAATTTTTTATGTTAATAGAAATCAATTGTTGACTAATGGTTGCAGATTTACATTAATCAAGCTTGAATCTGAATGTTTCTTTTTCTGTTTTTGACAAACAAAAGTTAATTCGCCTTGCTAAATTCTACCCGAGAAATTTTTCTGAATAAGATGTGTTAGCAATTGAAGACAAGCTGTATGTCTTAAGTGAACGAATGTTAATTTTTCTCAACTTAAAGGACTCAGTGGTCTTGCAAAGAAAATGGTGGAGACAAGAATGGACATAAGTTATGCATTGATCTACAAGTTTCTTCTAACTTTGGCTTTAGTTCTTCCAGTTGCTACAGTTTTAGTGGAAAGACTATATTGGCTATGAATCTCGTGAAGAATTCACCTCGCAATAGAATGGTAGATCAATGGATGAATGATAGTTTACTTGTTTATATTGAGAAATATGTTTTTAATAGCTACCAATGATGCTATAATGCATCGATTTCAAAATATAAAATCGCGTCGCGGACAATTACGTTCCCTTCATTGACTGAAAAGTTGTAATTTTTTTTTTAGTTAAGTGAAATTTTTTAAAAAAAAGTATTTTTTCATTTCATTTTGCCCTGGCTACTAAACAATTCTGTATCCGCCGCTGGCGATTGATGTCGAAGAATCTGCCATGGATCACCTAGTACGAAGCCTGAATGAGAAAATAATTCCAACTGGAAGAGAAATTACCGAGCCGGGGTTCGGTGTCTCTAGTCAATGGACGTGGGCGAGGGAGAAAGCAACAGGCCCTATCTCCTCCTTTTTTTTT